GATGGTGTTTCTATGGTGGTCCTTGTAGCTCGATCATTGTCTGCTTCTTAATATGATTTTCATTGATAACCACTAAAAGATTTCAACTTAATTCACACAAATATATATATGTGAAAGAAGGTGTGAAATAATTAAGGTATAATTGTATGAAGTAAAATGTAAGAACCCCAAAGTATGTAAATTTACTATCCTTGACCCTGAGTATTTGACCGTTTCTCTTCCTTTCAGGTGACTTATTACAATTCTTGCACCTGCCCACCGATTATATAAACTTAAATAAAAGTACCATCTTCGTGTTTACACAGTACAAAAACTTATATTTGGCATAACATCATATGGGACAAGACCTGACCTAAGTGGGATAAAAATGTATTTTTTTTTCTTTCCATGTAGAAAAAAAAACTCAAGGAGATGAGACAAGATTGAAGAACCTTTACAAATTGTAGTTCTATGCTACGGTGATTATAGGACGAAAACTCTTACCACATTGTCCAGATGTTGAAGGATTGAATTTAACTATTTGGGTTGATGTCAGGTTCCTCTTTTAACAATAACTATATCATCAAGATTCAACAATTCAAGAGAAGTCAACCTGACAATCACAAACAGTCCCCCACCTTTGTTTTTATCTATGTGCACATATCGAACATCATAAATAAATGAAGCATATAAACCTACCTCTTTATGTTTGGAAGGCCGTACAGAGTCTGGCAGTAACTTGGTTGGCCGATATTGATTTTCCCGTATAAAGGTTAGCCAAACAATTGGAATCCCAATAAAAACAACAAAGTTAGAACAACTCTATTTGAACCATTATTAAAATCCACATAGGTCAAACGTGTCAAAAGTCAACCATTGGTCAACTCGGTCAACCCCGACTAACTTTAGACAAACCACAACTTTAAAACTAGATGACATCCTAAAACATAAAAAAAAACATTCTATAAACTAATAAATTCATCTCTCCAAATTAAAGCGCCCCAATAAATGCTCAATTCAAATACGATGCTTTAAGTAATTTAATAATTTATTACAAACTTTTCTCCTTAGAAATAAATAATCAATTAATATTAATATTCTAAAATAATTAATATATCAATTAAATAATAATTTAAATTAATATATTAATTAATTTAGAAATTAAATTAATTAACTAACATAATCTAAATAATTATAATGTAATCAATCTAAGTCCAAAATAAAATAAATATCCAATATGAATAAATATGATATCTTATGAGACACAAAATAATTTTGTTGGTTAAATTAATTATCTAAATAACTCAAAGATATATGGGCCTAAATGCTAGTAAAAAAAGGGCCCAAAAGAGCGAAGATCTCAGCCCAGAAAGCATCTGGCCCAATATTCATTTTAACCGGATCCAAGTCAGACCCAAGACCCAACCGTCTAACCTAGATCAGAGATTTTGACCTGACGCAGGGTTGTCGATGACAAGTGACAACCACGTTTTCAGGCTATATGGCCTCATCTTTTTTATTGTTTTCGCTGATTCTTTTTGCTAAAATGCTAGAAAATGATTTTCCTCAACCATAAAAACTAGAATCAACGAAAACCATCAGGTATTGAGTCTCATTTACTCATTTAAAGTTTAGGTTCTAAATCAACTCGAAAATCAGTAAAAACGCAAAAGGGGACCTCCCAAACTAAAATCTGAAACATAAGATTATTAAGGTTCGATAGAGAATTTAAAAACAAAGCTAACCATATAAAGAACTCGAAATTTGGTTGAGCATTATACCTCCAATCGTCAATAAACGGAGTTTTTCGAACTCGAACTTTAACCTCCGATTTCTCTCTCAAAACTCGGCGAAATACTGATCTTCTTGAAGCAAAAGTGTAGAGGAAAGTATTGGATATGTATATCTGAAACTTTTTTGTCTTAATAGTTGAAATTTCGAACCAATAGGAAGCTTCAAAAGGATTGTCGTTTTCAAAATTCTGAAAATAATCAGAGATGTCCTTTTGTCATAACAGGTCCTCATGTATGAGAAATTCGCTATCTGACCATGCTCCCAAACTTTCAAAAAATGACACTCGGCCCTCTGACTTCAATACTTTGGCCAACTTTACACTTTTCACTCTCAATCAGACGTTTTCTTTCATTTTTAGTCTGATTAAACATGAACTCTTTTCTTTTCACTTCTCACTTTCATTAAATAACATTATTGACCTCTTTTCACATTTTTCTTCACATTTTTGACTCACAAAAATAAAAACCAATTATATTTTATTTTCGTTTTTTTTTATATTTATTTATTGACCCCTTTTTAGTGTCACACCTGTTATTGTGGCCTGAGATGATGGCCGATTTTGGATAACCGGAGAAAGACTAGAAGGGGAAGGTGGGATGTGGGGTCACACTTAACATGTGGCATTGCCTCATTGAAAGCTATAATATTCTTTTGTTTTTTTAATAGAAAATAAGTAAAAGACTAAAATACCCTTTATTAGGGTGCGTTTGGTTTGCAAGAATGTTTCTGAGGGATTTGGATTCCATGGGATTTGGATTGGATTGGATTTAAAATCCATTCATGTGTTTGATTTGCAGGATTTGGATTTGATTTGAAATTCATTCCTCTGTTTGGTTTGTAGGATTTGGATTTAGATTTTTTTTGTAATTATTTTAATCACCAAATCTCTTTCATTTTCTTAAATCTATCTATTTAACCAACAAACCTAAAAATTTAACAATCAAACCTTTTCATCCATAATGCATATTTAATCACCAAAATTTACCCATATTTAACTACCAACTTGTTCTTTCAAAAGCACACATTTACCCACCAAAATTTACCCATATTTAACTACCAACTTGTTCTTTCAAAAGCACACATTTACCCACCAAAATTTACCCATATTTAACTACCAACTTATTCTTTCAAAACCACATATTTGCAAAAATCCATTGTGTTCTTTCAAACTTAACAACATGACTATTCTGTGCATAGTGAGTGCTCCAAAGGGAATGGTGGGAGACTACAGGGGTGTATTTTGTTTACTTTTTCCAGATTTTTGGCATAGGTTCTAATAATGGATGAGATTACAGCCAACTTTAGAGGCACTCAAATTGTATTGAGAATTGGTATTACCAATTTAACAATGAAATCTCACTTGTAGCTATAAATAGCTAAGCTAAAGCAGGAGCAGTATTCAAGCTGGAGAATCATCATTTATAAAAGATAACATTCTAGTATTCAGACTTAGACTAGTTGCCTTAGAATACAAAAGATAACATTCTAAAAATTGAATGTAAAGACATCAATGAGAGAAAGAGTATAACAGGAAAACCCAAACACAAGGTAGCATCTTCCCGGGAGGCATGTTCTTTACACAACAGTCCACACACGCATATATGCATATCTATGTATCTATATCTACAGATATGTATGTGTATCGATGCATGACAGCAAATTAGCTAAAATGGATTGGTTGTTTCTCAATAGAATGTTTGACAAAGTTCTTTCCAATTTTCAACAGGGAGAACCCTTGTGCATTTTCTATTCTCGTTATGGAATATGCATTTTCAAATTAAAACCCCCAAAATGCAGATCATAATCGAGCATGTCTAATGCTATACAAAAGAGGTTATATGATTTACCTGCTGAGTGATGAGAGAAGGCGGCAAACAGGAAGGGCGGTTTAGGGAGCAGCTTCGCGAGGGGAAAGGAAGACAGCACCAGCGAGGAGGCAAACCGATTAGGGCACAGCTTCGCAAAGGACGGGACGGGAAGGGAGCACCGGCGAGGAGGATTGATTAGGACGGGAGGAAGCGATGGGAGGGAATCTGGGCGAAGGAAGCGAGAGGAAGGTGGGTGAAGCAATCGACAGGAATCGATGGGAAGGAGAAGCCCGGATTTGGATTTCAAATCCCGCTAGTTTGCAATGGATTTCCAAATCCCGCGTCTATGGATTTTAATGAAATCCCAGGATTCCAAATCCCTCCAATTTGGCAAATCAAACACAGGATTGGAATGGATTTCAAATCCAAATCCCCCCAATTCCATTTCAATCCTACAAACCAAACGCACCCTTTAAGTTCACTAAGCTGACATAACATTTTAGACTGTGCCAGGGCAAAGGGACCAAATGCGTGTGAAAATATAAACCATTTGGACATTTTCTATAATTATTTCAAATTAGGGACGCGTAGTGTGATTTAATGTAAACCATAAGGATGAAATTCGTAATTTACTCATATCTATATCTATACTGTATTATTAAGCATTTGGCAAGAACACTTAAAAATCATTTTTTATACATGAAGTAGTATTTATTGATGCATATTATTTAAAATTCAAGATTACAAGTAAATAATGCATAAGTACAACTTATTAAAGCTCAATACTTGAATTTGTGTAACTAACTACAGATAAACATAATCAAATATTGATAAACATTTCATTGTAAATATAAAAATCCTAAAAAATAATTAGGATAATCATCGTCTTCTAACAGAATACTTAATTATTATCTTTATAAAAAATTATATTATTAAATAAAAAATAAATTACTTTCTTTATAAATTGTATATGTCTTGAGTCCAACTAGATGTTTTAGTCAATTTAATAAGAGATAAAGACTTGATAATATAAGGTATACTTTGTTTTGAAATTTGGTCTATTTGGGACAAAACGAAATCCCCAACAGGTGAAACATGGCCAAAAATGAGGGTTTAAAACCATTAGAAATTGTATATTATTGTTAAGAAGGTGATATGGTTTCTGAATCCACGTAGGCATTGAGTATCCGCGTCCTGGAGGTTTAGTCCAGGAAGTCAAGACTGCTACGCGCTTTCCTCTTACTTTCTTCTCACAATCCCACCACCAACGCCTGCAATTCTCTCTCTCTCTCTCTCTCTCTCTCTCTCTCTCTCTCTCTTCTGCTTAATTTTGCCTCCACTCCAAATATATATATATTAGGGTGTTGGTCCTTCAATTGTTTTGGGTTGGTCAGAAGAGACGTATGATAGGTGATATACATGGAGAATCCAAGAATAACGACCGACAATCAACACCTGGAGAAGAAGAGGAAAACTCAAGAACATTGTCTCATGGAATCATCCAAGGAACAGGAAATACTGGAAACAGCTGCTTTCCATTTGATTCTACTCAGCCAACCATCTTCTTCTAATTCCAGACCAAATCATCACCAATCTGATCATCATGGTGATGGTGATCATGATCATGATCATGATCATGGTGGTTTCAGGATGATGATGAAAAAGAAGAAGCAAGATGATGCAATATTAGTAGAAGGTATTAATGCTACTCAAATTAGTGATAAGGATGCAAACTCAATTTGTACCACTTTTTCTTCATCTTCATCTTCATCTTCATCTGCTGAAACAACAAAATCTGGGATATCAGTATTGGAGGATGATCAGGAAGTGCAACATCAACATGAGGTTCCAACAACTCCAAGACAGCCAAAACCTCGATTTAGATCTTTAGTTGATATTTACAGTGTTACTAGGCCACTTTGATCTATATATATACATATATATATATATATATATATATATTCATCTAATAAACCAATAATCTGCATATGTATATATATTGCGTCTTCAATCAATGCAATTTTTCTTTTCTCATATTAGGAATTAACACAGGATGAATGCAGTCTCTACTACCACTTGACTTTTGCATATATATTTCTACCCTTGTTATGTTGACATATTTTCCTTGAATTTAGGGTTTAAGCTTTGATGAAAATGCAATATACAGGATAAGAAAGACCATCAAGACATGCATGCACATCTACATACATCTCCAAATATATATATATATATATATATATATATATATATATATATAGATTGTAAGGGGTCGTTTATTAAACACTTATCCGGTAAGTGATTATAGGGTAATTCTCTTTACCGGACGAAATGACAAGAGTCAAAAATCTTACCCTGTAAGAGCAATGATAAAGATAGAGAGTCTTATTCGGTAAGTGAAAGTAACAACTCTTACCCGGGTAAGTGCTTACCGGGTAAATTGTTGCATACGATACCATTTTAATGTACAATCTAACCCGCTAAAATAAATTATATTGTTAATTAACTCCTAACATTCAACGCTTACCGGGTAAGCATTTAGGTAAAAGGCCCCTAAACATACATATTTTAATGCAGACCTATTAAATATTTTAAATATAAAATAATAACATTTATTTTAAAAAATAAGTTATACACAAATATGATGAATGGTTAGGTGAATTAATATTTCCTTTTACACGCTCTAAGCATAATAATAAAATATTATATAAAAATAGAATTGAATCTTGGTTGACTCAAAATTAAATGTTTAAGAAACCATAAAACCCAAAGTTGATCAAAGTCTTGAAAACGACCGATTAATATTGTAAACCCTTCTTGGCTGCATGGTCAAATGGTCAACTCTTTGCTTCTTAAATTCCGATCGAATAATTTCGCGTTTAAACCGTTTTCGGATACGGAAGACTTGATTCATTGAACTTATACCAACATATAACGTTGAGTTGAGCAAGAGCTCTACCGAGTTTGAACTCTGCTTTGCTTCGTTGAAGTCAAACCCATAAAGAACGTAGTAGAATTTATTTTCAAATAATTGAATGAAAATGAACAAATTAAAGTCATATATTTCTCTTAGAAGAAACTTACGCTCACAATCGAATGGTGATATATAGACTCACTTGGTAACGTTGTGCTAAACGCTTCTTGGAATGTGACGGAATTTGGAAGTATATGTATTATATATTTTGATACAATTTCAACACTGATTTATTTATTTGTATATAGCGTATGTCTTCTTGTATTATATTAAAATTAAAAAAAAATTAAATACATTTATAGGGTATATTTCAAATGCAACCATATCCATTTGTACAACCAATGTAACCCAATTAATTGAGATATTTATAGAAATGATGAGAGTTAATTTATTATGATTTGAAACAATCAAAACTTCTATGAAATCACATATTTATCAAATTAAATGGACGGTTGAGATTGAGTTGTATTGGTTGTACAAATGTAAAGGGTTGTATAATAACCAACCTCTACATTTATATTGATTTTGAACTATAAATAAACATGTTATAGCAATTATAAGCTAATTTATCTTTTGAGTTTATTTGAATAGTTTTGTCTGGAAAGCAATAAACTTAGGTGTTTTTTTGACAAAAATAAGCTAGTTTATTTTTTAGGTACACATTTGAATGCATATAAGCTAACTTTCCTAACTAAATTAAGTCAAAGTAACGGGTTTTTGTTTACCCCTTAATAGTTCCATTAAGAGATAACCTTTGAATAGTTCGGAAGTGAATCTTGTTTAACAAAAAAAAAAATCTGCCTCTTAATGGTTCTAAAATCATCTGAATGATTTTGCATCCTGGACATCTCTTAACCATTCAACGCCCTAATTTCATTGTAAATAATTACCAAACAATATATTTCATTTTACATTAAATCATGAGAGTCTTTTAATCGTTCCGACTACTTAATCATTTTACACCAAATCATTAAGTAATTATCAAACAATGAAATTTGAAGATATAATATTATCCATAAGTCTCATCAATGAATCCAATAGTTAGAAATTAGGTCTTGAACTACTTTCTTATTAATTTATCCGGTAAACTACTAGGGGCTCCTGTAGCCCATGCCGGATTAATCGTATTTTGTGCCGGAGCAATGAATCTATTTGAAGCGGCTCATTTCGTACCAGAGAAGCCTATGTATGAACAAGACTAAATTATTCAAACAAATTTATTAATCAAAACAATAAGTAATGCAAATTTCACTTCAAATATATTTAAAACAAGCGTGTTTAGTTTTCATTTAAAGAGTTTATTTATTTTTTATTTAAGTCAATTTCTAAAAATTACAATTTTCGTTAAAATCACAATTAATTATTATTTTTAAATGTTTTCTAAATCATATATGATTTCCTAATCATATGTGATTTAAATTTTGAAAAATAATGATTCATATTAAATTGAAAAAGAAAAGATACTAAAAAAACAGAATCACATGTGATGTGTGATAAAACACATATAAAATGTATAAGATTGCATGCATTTCAAAACGTAATTCATAATTCATGCATATCACAAGTAATGTTATAGATAATTTACATTTCTTTTTTATTATGATCAATATTATATATGATACATTGACGAAAATTAACAACTCTTTTGTAGGAAAGAAACTTCGATTACTTGTGGATTTTCACATGTGATTTTTATGAAAATTTTAAAAAGAAAATCTCAAATAACTACTTTAATAAAAATAAACATTTTAAATTAAAAACTAAATCATGCTTATTTAAATGTTGTAAAAAATAATAAATAAAAGATAATAATGCTTTAATCACAAAAATAATAATAAAAAATCATGAATAAATACCTTATTTAAATTTATTAAATAATCTTAATATAAATAAATAAATTTTCAGATATGATCTATATACAACAAACGATAGATATTCCTTTTTGGACGATTTATAAGAAAGTTTTATTTAAGGTATTGTTTAATGAAATAATAGGCCCATAATTATTATTTTATTCTTTTAGATAGATATCATTCTCGATTGATCATCTCTCTCTATACATACATATATCTATACTATATTATAAAGCATTTGGCTAAAACTCTTAAAATCTCTTAAACTCTTAAAACTCTTAAACCCGTTCATCCCTAAACAATTTCATCCCTATCCGATTTCAT